CCACTGCATGACACCTAGGGTTGAAAATAATCCCTTCCTCCTGGACCCTCCCCACCCCGTCCAACATATTTACAACTGCATATAGTTCCAGGCCAAAGGGGAATGGCTTCAAACTGCAAGAGAGTAGATTTAGATTAGATATTAGGGAAAAATTCTTTACTGTGAGGGTGCTGAGGCACAGGAACAGATTGCGCAGAAAAGGTGTGGATGCTCCATCCCCGGAAGTCTTCAAGGCCAGGTTGGCTGGGGCCCTGAGCAACCTGGTCTGGTGGAAGGTGTGTCCTTGCCCATGGCTGGGGGATTGGAACTAGATGATCTTTGAGGCCTCTTCTAACACAAACCATTCTATGATATATGAGAGTAGATGGTACTCCAGAAATATTACAAGTCACTCAGAAGTGTAGTTGCTCAGAAGAAAAGTTGTTTCTGAAAAGGTAGTAAATCTTGCCTTGAAATTTCTAGCATTTCTCTCTAGCTGGCTCTGCTTTTGCTGGTAAAATAGCAGTGTCCGTGACACTACACAAACCTTTCATGTAGTCAAATTGGAAACATTTTATTCTTGAAGCACTGTGGGTTTTCTGTCCTTTTTAGCAATCGCTACTCTCTTCTTTTTTTTTAACACTTTGGTGTTGAGCTTAAGTGCATTGCTGTGTCATGGTTTATACCTAACAACAGTTCCAGCAGCTGTGGTGATACTTCCTCACTCAATCCATGTGTTCCTTAAAATGTGTATTTCATTTCAAACAGGGGAGGTTGATTACAGAACTGGGATGTAATGCCTCATCTTGCAAACTTTTCCCCACCATTGCCTGTAGGCTGAGGATCTAGAGCATATCATCTGTTTGGGGGTTTTTTTAGTAGTTAAATTATAGCTCTCTATTCCAAATTGAACTGTAAATTAAATTGAAGAGAAATTTTATCATGAATTACATTTCTCTGGAGCATGTTGTTGTTTTTTTCTAAATTTCTAGGGTGAAATAGTTAAGAAGTATACGCAGCTCAACCCTAAAACCTATGAAGACAGACTAGAATTAATTCTAAAGATGTGTATAGAGGCTGCATCAGAGGCTGTAAATGTTAACTGCAGAATTTTGGGAGTAGGTAAGTTAACAAACTCTAACTTTGTCTTTTCATCCAAGTCTTTCAACATGAAATCAAATCACTACTCATTGATTTAAAACACCTTTCTAAAATGGATCTTGTATACTTAAATTAAATTGTATTCTTAACAAACTTTTCAAAATGTCTGTGGAAATGAGAAGCTGACTATAAAGGCTGAAGTTTCTCCAGTTTGTAACAGCCTTGAAAGCAGAATGTGGCTCTTAGTGCCATGGTCTAGTAACATTGGTAGGGCTGAACTTGATAATCTTTGAGGTCTTTTCCAACCCAGTTGATTCTATGATTCTATGATCTAAAGTCTATCTAAAATGTGGGATAGAGATATTTTGTGGATTTTGAAACTTTGCTGTCTTGGAATTGTGAATCAGATGCTGACTGTATAACAAAACAGATCTTAAAATACCAGCTGAGTCAAGTTTCCTCTACTGTCTGTGAGCCTTTCTTTGTGGCTAGGATGAACTGTGCAGCAGAATTCTCTCTTATACTAGGGCAGACTAAAAAAGGCTAGAATGTTAAGACTAATTTTTCAGCTAACAGTGGCAAAGGCAGCCTTTTGCTGACCTCCTTACACTTGTAGTAGAGTTCCAAGTTAAGTTGTGTGTTTACACCATGCAGGACTTCTTCAGTTTAATGGTGACTGGGAGGTTTGGCCTTAAATATTAGTTATTTATAAAGGTGTTGATTAATATGTCCTAGATTTTTAAGAACAACATAGAATCTTCATTTTACCTGAGAAACACTTCAAAATAGTAGTTTCTTTCCCAGACCAAAACTTACTTGAATTGTACAGTACAAAGAAAAGTTAATTTGAACAAGTTGTATTCTTTAAAAACAATGTTAGGTACACAAAGTCATAAAAAGAAATATGTTAGACCTTCAAGTCAGATCTTTCAGACATGTGACTTAACCACCCAGGTTTTTTTATTGCATCCAAATGCTAAATCTTGAAAGCCTCATAATTCCTGTAGAAAAGATAGTATTGCAAGTATCTATGGACAGTTTACAGTCAGATACATTTATCAGGATAATGAAACCGTGAACTGGTTTACAGGGTTTTATATATGAGGAATAAACTTTTCTTCTGTTTGTCATTTAACAAAAATTACATTCCTATTTATTCTTCAGCCCCTTCCTTCTGTGACCAGTTGATTGCTTACTGAGTAATGAAGGGAAATGTGCTACAGAATAAGAAATTTCTTACATGGCTGTTTTTCTTCACTGCTCTTTGCCTCATTCAAAGTCACAGTTTGAATCAGAATACTAGCCAAAAGTTCTCTTTAGAGAATGACATATAATTCCTATGGGAATAATTAACATATTCAATTCTAGTCATTTCCTTAAGGCTAATAATCATAAGATGGAGAATCCTTTTAACTTCGGAGAAATTTTTGCAAGACTGAGCAGAAGGGCTGGACTTAATATTGGGCTATTTATTAGTAACACACTGGCTTTCTTCCAGCTATCATAGGTAAGGGTAAAAGTAATAACCATTAGAAACTAATAAGAAGAAAGAGCTACTAACAGAAAGCAATGAAAAAATGTTTTCCTCCTGTAAGTTCAATAAACATATGCTGTCGGCACTCAAAATACTAGCTATGTGATCACAACTTAGATTGAAGAACTCACACTAATACAAAACAGGTTCGCAGACTGATTAAAAAGTAGGACTCTGAAAAGAAAATAATTTTCAACATTTGTTTGTCTTGATGATCAAATAGGTCTAGATTGAAACAGCTCTGCATTTACACAGTTCAATTTTGTTATTTTCTGTTGGTTTCTTCTTCATTCAAAACAAAGCATTTGTGAAACAACTTTATAAAAATCAGGGAAATGTAAAGACTATCATGTCCAAAGAACACTAGAAACTGTTACTGAATTTATTATTTAATTTTTTTTTACTTTTGCAAAATTCATGTTTTAAAGCAAAGGTGACCCAGATCTATACACAAATGCAGCACAGAAGTACTTGTGACAACTAGTCATTCACTGCTATTATGCAGTATTTCAGGTTCTCTTTCTGGAACTGACAGTAGAGAGAAGCAGATGAAGACATAGCTTCTGCCAATTCTCATCATCATCTATGTCAATTACAAAATTACAGCATTTAGAAAACGTAGACAATATTTGATAAAGCTATTGCTGAGTTAGCAACTAGGTATTAAGTCTTGTAATAAGCATTTATTTCTTAAAAACATAGAGAGATCCTCACAGAATGACACTGGGAGTGTTGCTTTTGTTAAGTACTTGCTGACATTCTCAGATGATTTGTTCTTTACAAAGTGAGATTTTTGGGGGGTCTTATAGCTTTATGTTCAATTCAGCTGCTTGTCTTGGAGCTTTTGTGGCTGATTTCCATTATAACATTAACCCTGGAACCATCTTTAAATAAGTGACACAATTATATAATCTCTGTACTATAAAATATTCCAACTTAATTGTCTAGAGCTAAATACCTCCATAATAGTGGCCTACTTTTCAAAGGTCCTGAGTCCATCAATTTTGGAATCCTCTTCAGCTACAAAAAAACTGGTTTGGCTAATAGTGCCTATTATTGGCCATTTATTCTGTTCAGGAGACAAATCTCTTAATGCAGTTTTGATTTTTCACAAAAAATGGTGCATTTTTAAGTAGAAATCACTACTCTAAGTCCAGTGATTATTTTTAGTCATTCTAAATCTTCAGAGTTACAGCAGATTTGAATAATTCATTTTGGACAGCTTGCTATTAAGTCTTTTGTACATGACTAAAAAGAAACACAACTATTAAGTGATTTTCTGCAATCTTGCCTGAAGTAGGAACATTAACTCTCTGACTCACATTAACCATTACCCATCTCGTTAGTCTTAGATACTTGGTGCATTGTGATTAGAGCAGTAGCATTCTATGAATTACCTTCTTTACTCTGAGAGTGACTGAGCAGTGAAGCAAACTGCCCAGAGAGGTTGTGGAGTCTCCTTCTCTGGAGATACTCAAAACCTACCTGGACATGATGCTGTGCAACCTGCTTTAGGTGAGCCTGCTATAGCAGAGGGGTTGGATTAGGTGATCTCCAGAGGTCCCTTCCCACCCCAACCAAAAATGGCACTGCCAGTAACACTTAAGAAATTTTTACTTTCATGATCTGCTTCAAAGCCTAGCACTAGAAATAAAAAAAATCCTGTCTTTACAAAAAGAATAATAGGTCTCTTACTTAAGTATTACACAGACTTTGTTTTGATTTTTCTCTCCTGTGTTTCTGGTACTTAGGCATTTCCACAGGTGGACGGGTAAATCCCCGAGAAGGAATTGTGCTTCACTCTACAAAACTAATCCAGGAGTGGAGCTCTGTGGATCTCAGAACTCCAATATCTGATGCTCTGCATCTGCCAGTATGGGTGGACAATGATGGAAACTGTGCTGCTCTAGCAGAGAGAAAATTTGGTCATGGGAAAGGAATAGAAAATTTTGTAACACTCATTACTGGTACAGGTGGGTATGTTACAGTTCAGGGAAACTCAAAGTACCAGCACCATCACTTAGAGGGTCAGCTGATCTTAAAGTCATAAACACCACCACTGTGTCTGGAAAACCCTAATATTTTAGGTTCTTAAACCAAAAATCCTTTTGCTACTCTATTTGTTCCTGTTACCTTTTTTAAAATTTATTCAGGCAAATGAAACCTCTTACATAGTTTTAACTTCTTGATGAAAGAAATTCTGCTGATACATCTATGCAGGCAAATAAGGAGAATCTGGGCAACTTTACCTGGAATAATTTTGCAGTTTTCAGCTTTATAGCATAATTCTCTTTCAGCTTCAGAAGTAAAAGTCAGTCAGGACATGTATCTAGAAGAAAAGCAACTGAATATGAGAGGTGATGCTTATTATATTTCAAATGCAAATGTGGGGTAACTTTTCTAATTTAAGTATATGGTCTTTTAGATGGTGGCAATAAAAACTAGCTGTTGAATGCATGGAGTTTGGAAAGGGGCAGCACAGGCCTGCAGGTTTTAAGTGTCCTGGCTCCTTAACACACACGTTTAGCTGTCTAAATACAGCATTAAAATTTCTCCTCTGCACTGCTAAATTTTAAAGCTACTTGGAAGGTTAGTTTTGTGCATAAAGAGCATGACTTACAAGCTTAAAGATCTGCCATAGTAGTTCAGTACCATCCATAGGCTTTTTAAGAAAAGATATTAGATACCATTTTGATACATATATGAACAGGAGAGAGCTATGAGCTTGATTATTTGGTGTGTCACACAGAGTTCTTTTCATAACCAGTAATTTTGGGTTTCCAGTGTAGATCATCACTGATGCAAATTATTTTATCTTGTCTGTATTAGAATAAGCAAATATCAGTGTCCTGCAGAACTAGGGCCTTTAAGAACTGTTGGGGGGGAGGAGGTTGTTTGGGGAGGTTGTAATCATACAAGTTTTCATATCTTTGCAGGAATTGGAGGTGGAATCATTCATCAACACGAGCTGATCCATGGCAGTTCTTTCTGTGCTGCTGAGCTTGGGCATATTGTCGTGTCTTTAGAAGGACCAGAGTGCCTGTGTGGTAGCCAAGGATGTATAGAAGCATATGCCTCAGGAATAGCATTACAGAGAGAAGCTAAGAAACTGCATGATGGTATCTATTTACTTTATTTTTGAAAATACAATTACTAAATTGCAGTATAGGGAGAAATTTTCTAAGGTGATATTAAGAAAAAATAGACCTCCTTTTCTTTTTCTAGGAGGAGACAGGAATAGGTGTACAGGCAGCCTGCATAGTACAATTCTCTTTCAGTGATGGCAATACCCAGGCAAGGAACATTTGGAACCACTGGTCTCAAAACTACCAGAAGCACCCAGCAGACTTTAGTCTCTCCTTTTAAGCATGCTGTAAGGTAATCTGGCAGGCATTCTGTGAGGTTTGGTTTCACAGGGATTGTCTTTCAGCAATAGCTTCTCAGACTTAAATAAGTCTGAGAACATTTATATTTTATTAACTTTTTGGCTTGACAAGACTAGTGAATTGCCACATGATAACTGAGTTTGATGTCCTGCTTCTACCAGTAGTTCCCTGAATAACAGGGATATGATTGCTTTGGCTAAACCAAGGGTTGTACAGATTGCACAGGGTTCACTATGCAAGTTAAAAAGATGTAAAGATCTTAATTGCCTATCCTCTGTTTCTTGATTTACCATGTTTTGCTCTTGGCTTCTTCTCCTTTTCAGAGGATCTGCTTTTAGTAGAAGGAATGTCAATGAAGAAGGAGGAGGTTGTCAGTGCTGCACATCTTATTCAAGCAGCTAAACTTGGGAATACAAAAGCAGAGAGCATTCTCAGAACAGGTAAGAACATAGCCCAAAGGGTGGAACACTCCTGTGTTTATATTGTTGGGGATACAGAAAGGGTAGTACACTGTAACACTGCAAACACACTCTACACATTGAGGGCCTCTCTATATAAAAATTACTAATGGCAATGAAATCTTAACTAAATATTGGAGGAAATGTCAGCAGAAGTGTGTATTAAATGTGTGGTCCAATAAACAGGAATATTAAAAGCTTCTACCAAAAAAAGTAGTCTCAGCATTCTCATATTGAAAAATTTAGGGACATTTCATTGTAGGCCAGTGAATGGCTAGTCTGAGCTATCAAAGGAAATTTGTGTGTTACTTTACAGGGGATATTTTACTGCTTTCCTAGCTTTAAACACAGTGCTCTCCTCATACATACCTGACAACACTTAGACAGTAGAAAGCAGTGCTTTCCTATTTTCTCTGAGCTTACAAGTGTGCTTAATGCATTGTTTTGTCTCTCACATCTGGATATTCAGATAATGCATTATTATGCAAAAAAACTGCCTTTTCTTTCTTTTACTTTTGAAAGAAAAATCAATAGCAAACTCATATGGTTTGATAATGTAAACTCAAAACTCTGCCCCATGGGACAGAACATTTTCCTGACGGTGTTGCTTGCTGCTAACAGACCTATTTCAACTACTGATGCTGGAACTACTTTGAGTATTCTACTTAATTCCTTTTTACTTTATCTTTTCAGCTGGGACTGCATTAGGCCTTGGAGTTGTGAACATTCTACACACCATGAACCCCTCTCTTGTAATCCTTTCTGGAGTTCTAGCCAGCCATTATGTTAATGCTGTCAAAGATGTGATAAATCGACAGGCTCTGTCCTCTGCTAAAACTGTGGATGTGGTGGTCTCAAATCTAGCAGATCCTGCTCTTCTTGGAGCTGCTAGCCTAGTACTGGATTATACTACACGTAGAATATACTAAGTACCTGGACAAATTATAGAAATGGACTATTCAGATTCTTAATGGGTGGAGGGAATACTTTGCCCCAGATTTTTATTTGATGAGAGCAGCTACTGAGTCAGAGTAGTATCTGAGTAGTTAGTGACTACTTCAGCATTTCCTAATTGAGATATTATCTTTTTGTATTTTTCCTAAACTTCATCTGACTTCATAGGAAGCAATGTGCAATTCTGTCTTTTTAAGGACCTATATTGGTAAGCCCCTGTGTTGCTTTTGAGTGTAGCTGAATTATTTATGAGCATCTCTTGATGTATGTTGGGGATTATGCATATGGTGTGTAAAATTATAGCTAACACTTTTGGGGATCCATATCTCATTTCCCACCTGTGTGAAATGAGAAGTCTACAATATGACCAGCTTTTCAGTTTCCGAGCTTCCACCCACAAAGGAAATATGTAATCATCAATAGAAGGTAGTAATTTCAGTGGGTGGAAACAAGGGAAACAACCTCTACAATAAAAATAGGCTATACCTAGAAATTGTGGTTCATGAAGGACTTGATAGAGGCAACCAAGTTTATTTATTACATCGTCTTTAAAGGGCAGAGTCCCCTTTTAGAAGCTTTGCATATGAAGGAAAAAGACTATAGTCTAACAAGCACAGAGCTTGCAGATCAGTCCAAACAAACTGGTAAGTGTAGCAGCAAGCATCTCTGTCTTCTGACTATGGCCAAATCTTTGAATTTTATTGTCTGGGGATTTCTCAAGGGACTTTATCTACTACTTTGTCTGTCAAATTAGCAGAGAGGGGGGACTGCTTATTCTTGGGTAGCCAGTTGGCTGAAATTGAGCCACATTGCAATCTGACCATAAAGACTCAGCCTTTCAAGGAAACTCTTCCACTTCAGAATTACATGGTGCCATCCCCTCAGCCATTCTGGTGGCTGCAGGTGCACTGTTCTTGTTCTGTATTCACTACCATCTTGCAGGAAGGAAAGTCAAATCTGCCCCTTATCCTCACCTTCAAGGCATTCAGGGGCCTGGGAGGAAAGTATTGTCAAATACCAATAAAGGCTTGCCTAGGTAAACTATGGTTTATATTTCTTTAACTAGTCTTTCTTGATACATAGTACTGGCTTTATCCATCTCTTTTTAGCACACTTTCAAGATACTGGAGAAACTGAAAACCCAACCCATCTATCAGCTAGCCCAGAAATATGGCTCTGAAGGAACAGTCACAGGACTATCCTCTGTCCTGCATTTAGTGGCCTCTTTTGACATCTAACTCAGCCACTGATATTCTCAGAAGTCCAGTAATATATTAGTACAGGGGAATAAAAGTGGCTGTTTCCACACTAAAACAACTTCTCCAAACACAGTAAAACAACCTTCTGCAACAACTGCCCTCTGTTGTTTACTAATCTTAAACTGAATAGCTTGGCTAATTCTATACAGATTGCCTTCACTTCATCCTCTCTTCCACAAGGAATGGTTACTGAGAACTCAGATCTTCGGAGCAGATTTGAGAACCACCACCCGATCTCCTTCCTGATGTCTCCAAGAATAATTGTGCAGCCTCTATACATTTGTTTTTCTCAGAACTGGAAAGTACGGGTTGTTAACTATTTACAAAGATGTCATAGGCTTTATATCTCCAGGGATTTTTAGTTCCTTTTCCTACCTGTCTTGGTTTACATGGCAATTCCCACTACCTTTGAATACCAGAGCATTAGCTCCATGAGCAGGTCAAGGGGAAAACAGCTTTTCTTTACTGTGATAGTAGCTCAGTTCAGGAGTGGGTATCAGAGACAGTGTTGGGATTCTAACAGTGAGAAGGCCTGTCATTTGATCTTTCCATCCTCTAGTATCACAAGGAATGCCTGGCTGAAAGTGAGACCAGGATTTTACTTTCCAGACCCTCTGAAGCTGAAATGAAGGTGCAGGCATAGAGAAAACATGACAGACAAAAACACGTTTGAAAAGTTTTACTCTAAACACCTTTAACATCTAGTCCTGTTAAGAAATGGTTCTTCAAATGCATTTGAAAAAATGTTTTTTTCTGTCAACTGGCCAAGAACCTACTGCACATGTACAAGTGGTGCAGAAGTCTTTGTAGTTCCCCCTAAGAGATTTGTGGGTTTATAAAATCAGAAAGAATAAAAAATCATATTTAATAGTGCAGTAGTGATTTTGTTTGTTTCTCCCTCCTTCCCTGTTCAGAAACCTCCCTTGCACTTCAGGTATTTTAATATGGTCCAAAAGTTTTATGAACACTAGCTCTCAATTGTATCCAGTCCAGGGGTAGCAGACATCAGATGTTCACAGAACAGCTGCAGTACTGTGCTTACCTGGTGCTGGCCCTATGTCCTTTAGAGCAGCCCATACCATGAAGATCATAGGCTCCCGTGATGGCAAACCGGCCTTTATATCCTGTACTCAGAAATAAAGTGGAGGAGCAAAAGCCCTCTTTTCAGTATTTCAGAGCCTAAAGCAGCAGTGCATTCTCATTACCTGCACTGGCAGCACCTGCTCATGCTACCTGTTGTAGAGGCTGGTTTTGCACTGTCCCTGGTAAGTACATGTGGTATTCTAACTGTTGAAGCCTTAGCAGGAGTGCTGCTGTCCTGCCCTCAAAGCAGAACTGCATGTGACATCAGTAGCTTGGGCAGGAAAAGAACATGTGTGTTTATAATCAGCAGTGCATAAGCAAGCAGCAGTAGAGTGCCAAAAGGTTGAAAAGTCAATTAAAACTGGAGTTCTTAGTGCTGTAACTTACCATTATGTAACCGATACAAGAGATACAAGATCTTTACTAGTTCCTGTACCACACAGCTCCTTTTCCCTGTGGCTGGTGGAAAAAGACTGCTTTGTCCACAACAGCTCTGTCTAACCGCAGAAACCCAACCAACGAGCACTTGGGATCATGAGGAGGCTAGTTGAGTTTTGATAGCTGATGCTTTGGAAACCACATAGTTAATTCATACAGCATCAAGGTCTGGAATTTCTTGGTCTCTTCACCAGCAAGTTTAGTTATTCAGTATTTTGAGTCTTTCATCTGCCATCCAGACACTCAGAATTAATAAATGCAGCAGTTTTCCAGTGGTCTTGAAGCACTGTCCTTCCTCCATTTAACTGTAACAAAATTGTCAGAAATTGTACCCATTACCAGTGAAGGCAATGGCAGCTTTGTATCACAAAAATGCATCACAGAGAGTAAGGTGCAGAGAGAGTTTATACTCTGATTCACTGAACGTGGTGCTCCAAGGCAGCCTTGGCTGTAGCGACCACAAGATGGTGTTCAAGATCCTCAGGGCAGTGAGGAAGTCACACATCAAGATCACTGCCCTGGACTACAGGACAGCAGACTTTAACCTCTTCAAGGACCTTCTTGACAGTCTCCTGGGATGAAGTCCTGGAAGGCAGAGGGGCCCAAGACTACTGGCATTGTTCCACCATTAAAGAATCATCTGCTCCAAGCCCAGGAACGATGTATCCAGACATGGAGGAAATCGGTCAAAAATGCCAGAAGGCTGCCATGAATGAATAAGGAAGTGCTGAGGAAACTCAGAGCAAAAATAAAAGGTCTTTACACGGTGGAAGGAAGGACAAAGGGCCTGGGAGGAATACAGAGAAGTTTTAAGCGAAGCTAGAGATACGGTCAAGAGAAGCTAAGGCACAGTTGAAATTGAGGCTAGCCAGGGACATTAGGATAACAAGAAAGGTTTCTACAGCTATGTTGCATGTAAAAGGAAGGCTAGGGATAATGTGGGTCCTCTCTGGAAGGAAACAGAACTAGCAACCCTGGATACAGAACAGGCTGAGGCTCTTAATGACTTTTTTTCCTCAGTCCAACTCCAAGTGCTCCAGCCATTCTGACCAGACCAAGAAGGCCAAAGGTGGAGACTGGGAAGATGAAACCTCTAAACCCACTGCAGAAGTGGGTCAGGTTCGAGACCATGTAAGGCACCTGAACATGCATAAATCTATGGGTCCTGATGAGATTCATCCTCAGGTCCTGAGGGAACTGGCTGATGTCATTGCTAAGCTACTATCTATAATTTTCCAGAAATCCTGGCAGTCAGGTGAAGTCCCCAATGACTGGAAAATGGGAAACATAACCCGTGGCAGTCAGGTAAAGTCCTCGAGGACTGGAAAAAGGAAATATAACCCTCATTTTTAAAATGGGGAAAGCGGAAGAACCAGGGAACTATAGACCAGTCAGTCTCACCTCTGTGCCTGGCAAGATCATGGAGCAGATTCTCCTGGCAACTATGCCTAGGCACATCAAAAGCAAAGAGGTGAT